CCCCCTCACAAAAAGGAACAAGTTTAAAAAAACAAAAGCAAAACAGAAATTAAATGTGGGAGACAGGTGAGGCAATGAGAGAGATTAAAATAACGTACTCATAGAACAATAATAATAATTTATAATGTAATTAATTTTGTCCACCTCCAAGTGGTGATCTACATGCCAGCCTCAACTGTTGGCCCATGACCCTGCAACCTTTGCACCCCAAGACATTCATGCTGTTAAATTTTCCTGGAAATAGTCAGATATCGTCTACTAGTGAGCTAGCACATTATCATAATTTCCTTCTTTATTGTTATGTAACTTAATAAAATTAAATAGTTAATGAACAACAGCGAACACTAATTCTGCGACAAGACTGAGTCACGTTATAACTCCCAATTTTATACTGCGTAAAAAGAAGGGAGGTCACTCTAAACTCTAAATTACAAGTCCTAAAATCACTGCTTGTGTCCGCTGTTGGAGGACGATGTTCTCGCACTGAATTATTGTTGCAGTGCAAAGACAGTTTTAATTCACCCTACAACAGTGTTGTAGAAAGTGTTTGAGTTCACCAGAGAAACGTATAATATCCTAACCATAACTGTGGCTAACTGGGTATTCACTGTTCCGAGGCAGAGAGTGACCCGGCTCTTGTGACGGCTCTCGACGGACTGTTGAGTAGATCTAACACGCAAGACAGAACACTGTGTTGCTGAAGGCTGAATGGAGTCCGCTAAGACCATGACAAATAACGTTTTTCTTTAAGTGAGTGCTCATTAGATCTAGATCTAGATATATATAGTTGTATTCATTTCGTATTCCTTTCAATATCTAGACCCAACAATATTTGCCGATTTCATTGTCATTAAGTTTTGTGTAGGAGGCCCACTCTTACTGTAAGTGTAAGGTCTTACTGAGTCATAATCATTCATATAGCTGCTAGAGAACGACAACTAAGCGCCAGTGGCCGATATTTATTGTAACAGCCGTCTTGTTTGACGTCATTGAGGGATTCCCACTTTGTCAGTTGGCAGTCATGGTGGCAACACGAACGCAAGACGGCAGCCTACCGACTCGGTTTTCTTTGCAACTTGCAGAACTGTTCAGTTCAGTTGTCTGTGATTGTGCAGCACCCTTCTTCCGCCCAGATTGATTCTGATGCTGTACACTATGTTAAACTGAAAAGAAGAAGAAGACTAAGAGTAGGCCTACGTACAAAAGTGAGTTCAAGCAAAGTTCAATTACGCAGTGCCAATGGTTGACTGTTTTGATCCGGATCGTTTCTTTTTAAAAGTTTTGTAAGCACAATGAAATTTAGGACTTAGAGTTGAAAATTGGTGACCGAACACATTTTTTTTTCGATTTCTTTCCGCACATTTTTGGGTGACCCATATTACAATTTCGTTTTGTTTCGTTTAGTGCGCGAATTGAGGCAATTTTAACCTCTAAATACCTCACATGATGCTTCTCTACTTCCTTCCTGTGCAAGAAAAACAACGTGGCGGCTGTTTTTGAGTTTTCTTTCGATCAATTTCCTTCAAAAAATCGGTGAGTACCTGCAACCTCATGTCCATGGATGATCCAGGTCATGTGCAGGGGGAAGTTGATTTGTACTTCCGTTTTATCACCTTTCTGGCCGTAGAATTTATGTCGCAATATTAGTATTCGAAACGCTCTTCAATGGCGCTATCTGCCTTACTCTTTATAAATTTTTAGAGGAAGGGTGTAGGGTCCGATGAAGATGTCTCATGCTTCTCATGGGTCCGCACACCTTCGACTCAGACAAATTTTTTTTTTTTTTTTGCTTTATTATTCTCGAATCATGCATCTTATTGTAGAATCTAGAAAAGTAGATCTAGAGAATGCGTGATGAACTTGTATTGAATTTTTTTTTCTATTTAAAGTGTTAGACTCTAGCTTCTACAGACATTGTTTTATAAATGGGAGGAATAGATATCTAGAATCTCTAGTCTAAAAGACTGCAATGATTTTTATGATGATGCTGCTGTTGCTGCTGCTGCTGATGATGATGGTAATGGTGATGATAATGGTGATGATGATGATGATGGTGGTGGTGATGATTATGGTGATGATGATGATGGTGCTGCTGCTGATGATGGTGATGGTGCTGATGATGATGGTGGTGGTGGTGAAGGTGATGGTGAAAGGGAAATGTGCAATACTCTCAATGAACTTTTATTGCAGCACAATTAAGATAGATA